GTAGGCGATCATGGCTCTCCACAATTAGTAAAGTTTGTCTTTTATATCTCTCTATCTCTCCTAATCCTTGTTCTTCCAAGTATTTATGTTTGTCTTTTGTTCTTCTACGTGACATGTCCCTTTTAGAACGTAGGCGATCATGGCTCTCCACAATTAGTAAAAGTTTGTCTTTATGCTATCTCTCCTAATCCTTGTTCTTCCAAGTATTTATGCAAGCTTGTTCTTCTACGTGACATGTCCCTTTAGAACGTAGGCGATCATGGCTCTCCACAATTAGTAAAGTTTGTCTTTATGCTATCTCTCCTAATCCTTGTTCTTCCAAGTATTTATGCAAGCTTGTTCTTCTACGTGACATGTCCCTTTAGAACGTAGGCCATCATGGCTCTCCACAATTAGTAAAGTTTGTCTTTATGCTATCTCTCCTAATCCTTGTTCTTCAAGTATTTATGCAAGCTTGTTCTTCTACGTGACATGTCCCTTTAGAAGTTTGTCTTTATACTATCTCTCCTAATCCTTGTTCTTGATCATGGCTCTCCACAATTAGTAAAGTTTGTCTTTATGCTATCTCTCCTAATCCTTGTTCTTCCAAGTATTTATGCAAGCTTGTTCTTCTACGTGACATGTCCCTTTAGAACGTAGGCGATCATGGCTCTCCACAATTAGTAAAGTTTGTCTTTATGCGGTCTCTCCTAATCCTTGTTCTTCCAACCATTTATGCATGCTTTTTAGGTAGGTTATGCTTTGCTTTCTTCTGTCTTTCTTGCTTTCAATATGTCGTGTCAGTGTCAAATTGTCTAATCCTTCTATTTGTCCTAGAAATTTCATCTGTCTCTTCCTGGTGTTAAGTATAATTGTCCTTTTTTGTTTCCAGTTTCACTAAAACTTTATTCAGTCTATGGTATTCTCAACATCCTTCTGTAGAACCACATTTCTGTTCCCTCATGTTTTTCTTCATCCCTGGGGAGATTCTACACCATTCACTGCCATATACGAATACTTATATTACGTAACGGTTCAGTACCACTTTTTTTCTGTTTTTGACGAAATTTTTCTGTTTCTTAATCATTTGCTTAGATTTTGTAAGGCATTTTTCACTATCCCAATGCGCCTTCGGGATTCAGTATTTTTTTTTTTTTTTTGCTATCAAATAATTTTTTTGTTTTTTAATAGTTAAAGAACAGTAATTTTTATAATTAGTTACTAACTGGGATTTTACACAGTCTCTATTGACTTAAACAAGAGATACTATCTATCTATCTATCTATCTATCTATCTTAATTGGATCATTATCTCTGCCTCCCTCTCAATCTATCTATCCCAGTTTATTCATATTTATCTTTCTATCTCAGTTCGCATCTATGTCCATGTTTGTCTGTTCAATCTAAAATATTTTTACTCTCTAAAATATGTTTCGACATTAAATAAACCATAAAAGGTTGATAAGTCATCAAAACGATCTATCTATCTATCTATCTATCTATCTATCTATCTAAGAATAGTGTTAAAGTACTGAGAAAAGTTGCTGGCGTGAATGCTCAATGAATGAACGAATAATAATAATAATAATAATAATAATAATAATAATAATAATAAATAAATAAATAAATACTTAAAACAGAAAGCAAAAGCAAATGGAACCGACCAGATAGAGAAACAATGGCAAGATAAACAGCTTCATGGTCAATACTCAGTCTGTACCAAACAAGCTGATGTAGACAAACCCGGTACCCATCAGTGCAGGATTAAAAGCTGAAACTGAAAGTTTTATTCTTGCTTCACAGGACCAATACTTGCTAACTAGAAATTACCAAGAACACATACTGAAAAACTGTGTTACTTCAAAATGCAGATTCTGTGATAAATATCCAGAAACAATTGAAAACCTCGTATCAGGTTGCGTGGTACTGGCACCCACTTAATATAAAACACGGCACGACAGAGTGGGCCAATATCTGCAGTGAAAAACACTTACGGAAAGGAAACTGTAATTGGTATGAACACCATCCAGACCCGGTTACAGAGATAAAACCTGTAACAATTATATGAGACTTTACAATACACACAGACAGAACAATCAAAGTTAATCGCCGAGGCATCGTCGTTTGAGACGGCAAAGACAAAATGTGACTGTTTATTGACACAGCATTCCCTGCAGACTGCAAAGTATCTTTGAAGATCTTCATTGGAGCCCTCGGATTGATTGGAAAAGATTCCAATAGACTCATTGAAGGGATTTCTGGTAGCCCATGCCTTAAAGAAATACAAAAAATTGTTTTCACAAGTACAGCCCACACCTTACGAATGGCATTATCTATGTAAAATATGTGTGATTTTTTTTTTCAAAATTGCTCAGTGAAAAATGTCATGATACCATTTCTGACCTTAAGTCTCTGGTTGGGACCCGGAAAGAAATGAGTATACACCAGAAACCAAAGGAAATAAAACAATGATAGTACTAAATTATCTTTGATTAGCAGTAGTGGAAAATGAGAGTATAAGTCTATTCTGGGACATCGTCGTGCGTTGTGATAATGCAGTTGGAGTAAAAAGGCCGGGCATCATTACTATCGGAGAGGGAGCCAGTGTTGGGTCATCAATATAGAGGTACTAGGGGATGTAAGGGGGAGATGAGAATTAAGAAAATAAGTCCATCATCGTAATGAGTCTGATCTTAATTTCGAATTTAAAAATTCCGCTTTAATTAAAAAAGAAAGTAATTTACTAAAACAAAATTGTATAGGAAGTGCTTTGATCGGTAGATCATCCACTGTAAAAGTCCAGGTTTTTACAACATTTCGCCTTTCTTGGCAGATCTCCTAATATAGTGATAAAAGACTGACTACATCAAATCAATAGCTGCATCTACTGCAAGGAAAGTTGGGTCACTGTGTTGTGACAGAAATTTTTTCTCGTCAGAATCCATCTTGCACATTTACAAATCTACCATTCGTCCGAGCATTGAATACTGTTGCCATATCTGGTCTGGTACCCCTGCTATTCATCTCGAGATTCTTGATAATATTCAAAAAGGGGATCTGCAATATAATCGATCTTGACTTGGCATCTTGATTTCAGTCATTTTCACACCGACGTGGCGTCTTCCTCTCTTTTCTAAAAATATTCTCATGGCTACTACTCTGACGAGTTTTTTCCCCTGGTATCTGGACTAGGTGTGTTTAAGCGTGCTACTAGATTAACATTTATGTCCCACACTCTTAATGTTGAAATAGTTAAATGCAACTGCCACTCCTACCTTAACAGTTTCTTTTCTTGTACTTTCCGACTGTGGAACTCCCTTTCGTTTACTTGCTTTCCTGAAAACTACACTCCTCAAAAATTTAAATGCAATGTCTGTCGCCATCTTCTATCTTCTTGAATCCCTTTCATCTTTTGTCCTTTTCTCAAATGTTCTCTATAATCAGTCTTTTCTCTCTCCGTGTAACCGCCCGTGTACTAATGGCATTCTCGCTTTTCTTTGGATGAAATTATAAAAAAGCACAAGGAAACTGAATTAAATTGGCTAGAACATAAACCCAAGCATCTCTGATAAAAAAGAAGCTAAATTTAAAAGTTTAAAATTTCAGCGTTTCTCTCATGTTCAGCTTTTACTGTAGGTGCATAATTATGACCAACGTTTGCGTTTTTATATCCTACTTCCCTTCCGTATAGGAAGAAAAGCATCACTTCATCCTGACGAAGTTCTAAAGGACGAAACGTTTTATACATAATTTTTTCCACTTTGTCACTCATTTGCCTTACATTGTTCTGATATATACAAATTTAAACATCACATTTTCTTCCAAAAGATAAAAGGTAAAAGAATAATTTTGCCAGACCGGAGACTTGTTCGTATTCTGTGATGCATTGCAGGTTATTTAAAGTTAGAAAATATATTTAGACAGGAATAATTTTTTGGCGATAATAATGATTTACTGATACAAGCCATACTAATTAATCCATATCTGGTGGGAGAAGAGGAGGATTCATACCTTTCCAAAGGGTATTTGTGAGTAAGCGAATATAACGAAACTGATTGGAATAAGAATTTGGCTCGCCGATTTTCAATTCCGTGTCGTTATTTATTTCACCACCCGCACATCCAAACTCACAGCACCTGGTATTTCCAAATGATCCGCAAAATCTAGGCTTGACGTTGAGGATCGTACGAGAATCGATGTTTCAACGTAATGTGACCAGAAGAAGAAGAAGAAGACAACGAGGAAGAAGAAAACGAAGAAGACAAAGCAGAAACAGATGATGATAATGATGATGAAGAAGAAGAAGACGACGACGAAGAAGAAAACGAAGAAGGTGAAGAAGACGCAGAAGAAGACGACGACGAAGAAGAAGAAGAAGAAGAAGAAGAAGAAGAAGAAGAAGCAAAAGAAAACGATAACGAAGAAAACGACGATGGAGAAGAGAACGAAGAAGAAGACAAAGCAGAAACAGATGATGATGATGAAAACGACGACAACGAAGAAGAAGACGTCGAAGAAGAATTGAATGCTGTGAAAGTTATAGAGGAACTTGGATTTTCGGTATGATTTTCATATCTTGGTAATTTCCTGACGGCTTATATGAAGCGGGCAGTTAAAGCCGAGTGTCAAGAATGGAACATTTGATGACGCCCAGTCTGGTGCGTCTAAAATCCCGAGGCCACAACAGCGTAATAGGGAATGTCACCAGCCAATTTAGCAGTTTATGAGTTAAAACGTAAGGCAAAGATAATTAAAACTGTGTTGGCTGTTGTTAAAAAGTTTATTGTTAATCAAATATAAATAAAATCTCTTGTTTGTTTCTACATATTTCTCTTTGTCTTTTGTAACATTCGTCACACACGCAACCACATTTAATCACCGTTTATCCTTCGAATCGTGAACACGTTTCTTAGTTCTGCGTTCTTACATACACCGGTTACCACTATGCCCCCCCCCACACCTACGTTTCGGCATATACTACTTACTCAAAATGACTTTTATAACTTCTTTTGTGTGGGGTCATTAGAGAGAGAGGGGGGGAGAGAGAGAGAGAATGCGGGTGAAACTAAGTTGGAGTGAGAGGGTAAACGAGAGAGAGAAAGAGAAAGAGAATGGACGCACGAGAGAGAGAGAGAGAGAGAGAGGAGGGGCTGGAAAGGAAGGAAGGAAGGAAGGAGGAGGGGAGGGAGGGAGGGAGGAAGGAAGGAAGGAAGGAAGGAAGGAAGGAAGAGGTCTCAAAAGTTAATGAAAAAATGATAGATAGATTCTTATACTAAGCGACCCACATTTGTAACCAACGCAACTCTAGTGACCTGGAAAGAACAAAATGAAGGAAGGAAGGAAGGAAGGAAGGAAGGAAGGAGAAAGAAAGAAAAAGAAAGAAAAAAAGGAAATAAATAAGAAATAAATGAGAAAATACGAATGAAAGAAAAGACGAACAGAAAGAAAGGAAGAATGAAAGAAAGAAATACAGAGAGGAAGAAAGAAAGAAAGAAATACAGAGAGGAAGAAAGAAAGAAAGAAAGAAAGAAATACAGAGAGGAAGAAAGAAAGAAATACAGAGAGGAAGAAAGAAAGAAATACAGAGAGGAAGAAAGAAAGAAAGAAAGAAAGAGGAAGACAGAGAGAAAGAAAGAAAGAAATACAGAGAGGAAGAAAGAAAGAAATACAGAGAGGAAGAAAGAAAGAAAGAAATAAAGAATAAAGAAAGAAAGAAAGAAAGAAAATACACAGAGAGAAGAAAGAAAGAAATACAGAGGAAAGAAAGAAAGAAATACAGAGAGGAAGAAAGAAAGAAAGAAACAAATACAGAGAGGAAGAAAGAAGGAAAGAAAGAAATACAGAAGGGAAGAAAGAAAGAAATACAGAGAGGAAGAAAGAAAGAAATACAGAGAGGAAGAAAGAAAGAAAGAAAGAAAGAAAGAAATACAGAGAGGAAGAAAGAAAGAAAGAAAGAAATACAGAGAGGAAGAAAGAAAGAAATACAGAGAGGAAGAAAGAAAGAAAGAAAGAAAGAAAGAAAGAAAGAAAGAAAGAAAGAAAGAAAGAAATACAGAGAGGAAGAAAGAAAGAAATACAGAGAGGAAGAAAGAAAGAAAGAAAGAAAGAAAGAAATACAGAGAGGAAGAAAGAAAGAAAGAAAGAAAGAAAGAAATACAGAGAGGAAGAAAAGGAAAGAAAGAAATACAGAGAGGAAGAAAGAAAGAAATACAGAGAGGAAGAAAGAAAGAAATACAGAGAGGAAGAAAGAAAGAAATACAGAGAGGAAGAAAGAAAGAAAGAAATACAGAGAGGAAGAAAGAAAGAAAGAAAGAAATACAGAGAGGAAGAAAGAAAGAAATACAGAGAGGAAGAAAAGAAGGAAAGAAAGAAATACAGAGAGGAAGAAAGAAAGAAATACAGAGAGGAAAGAAAAAAGAAATACAAGAGGAAGAAAGAAAAAAAGAAAGAAAGAAATAGAAAGAGAGGAAGAAAGAAAGAAAAAAAAATAAAGAGAGGAAGAAAAGAAAGAAAGAAAGAAATACAGAGAGGAAGAAAGAAAAGAAATAGAGAGAGGAAGAAAGAAAGAAATACAGAGAGGAAGAAAAGAAAGAAATACAGAGAGGAAGAAAGAAAAGAAAGAAAGAAAGAAAGAAAAAATACAGAGAGGAAGAAAGAAAGAAATACAGAGAGGAAGAAAGAAAGAAAGAAAGAAAGAAATACAGAGAGGAAGAAAGAAAGAAATACAGAGAGGAAGAAAGAAAGAAAGAAAGAAATACAGAGAGGAAGAAAAGGAAAGAAAGAAATACAGAGAGGAAGAAAGAAAGAAATACAGAGAGGAAGAAAGAAAGAAAGAAATACAGAGAGGAAGAAAGAAGGAAAGAAAGAAATACAGAGAGGAAGAAAGAAAGAAATACAGAGAGGAAGAAAGAAAGAAAGAAATACAGAGAGGAAGAAAGAAGGAAAGAAAGAAATACAGAGAGGAAGAAAGAAAAAGTCTAGAGAGGAAGAAAAAGGAAAGAAAGAAATACAGAGAGGAAGAAAGAAAGAAATACAGAGAGGAAGAAAGAAAGAAAGAAAGAAATACAGAGAGGAAGAAAGAAGGAAAGAAAGAAATACAGAGAGGAAGAAAGAAAGAAATACAGAGAGGAAGAAAGAAAGAAAGAAAGAAATACAGAGAGGAAGAAAGAAAGAAATACAGAGAGGAAGAAAGAAAGAAATACAGAGAGGAAGAAAGAAAGAAATACAGAGAGGAAGAAAGAAAGAAATACAGAGAGGAAGAAAGAAAAGAAATACAGAGAGGAAGAAAGAAAGAAATACAGAGAGGAAGAAAGAAAAAAAAGAAATACAGAGAGGAAGAAAAAGAAAGAAAAAACAGAGAGAAGAAGAAAGAAAGAAATACAGAGAGGAAGAAAGAAAGGAAAGAAAGAAATACAGAGAGGAAGAAAAAAGGAAGAAAGAAAAATATAGAGAGGAAGAAAGAAAGAAATACAGAGAGGAAGAAAGAAAGAAAGGAAGAAAGGAAGAAAGAAAGAAATACAGAGAGGAAGAAAGAAAGAAAGAAAGAAATACAGAGAGGAAGAAAGAAAGAAAGAAAGAGAAAAAGTAAGAAAGAAAGAAAGAAATACAGAGAGGAAGAAAAAAGGAAAGAAATACAGAGAGAAGAAAGAAAGAAATACAGAGAGGAAGAAAGAAAGAAATAAGAGAGGAAGAAAAAAAAATACAGAGAGGAAGAAAGAAAGAAATACAGAGAGGAAGAAAGAAAGAAATACAGAGAGGAAGAAAGAAAAGAAAGAAAGAAATACAGAGAGGAAGAAAGAAGGAAAGAAAGAAAACAGAGAGGAAGAAAGAAAGAAATACAGAGAGGAAGAAAGAAAGAAATACAGAGAGGAAGGAAAAGAAATACAGAGAGAAAAAAGAAAGAAATACAGAGAGGAAGAAAGAAAGAAATACAGAGAGGAAGAAAGAAAGAAATACAGAGAGGAAGAAAGAAAAGAAAGAAAGAAATACAGAGAGGAAGAAAGAAGGAAAGAAAGAAATACAGAGAGGAAGAAAGAAGGAAAGAAAGAAATACAGAGAGGAAGAAAGAAAGAAATACAGAGAGGACAAAAACAAAAAAGATAAAGAAAAAAGGAAAAACTTGAGTCAAAATTTCTAAACAAAGCACATAAATACTTTAAACTCGGATAAATAGCAATTTCGATACAACAGCGATATTATTTTTTTAAGCATTTCACCCCAAGCAAGGCGGGAGTGCCACTCGTACGCAAGGGGTTACAGAGAGTAAGAGTAAGAGTAAAGAGGCGTGATAGCGGAAAGGATAAAGAGAAGGACAGGGAATTAGATCAATGCATCGGAAAATATCGATTGACATTACACTTGAATTTTTGAAGATAATAGCTATCAGGAAAGCAAGTAAGAGGAAGGGAGTTCCACAGATTGGGAGCTCGAGAGAAGCTGTTGGAATAGAAGAGGCGGCTACATTTAGCCGTTTCGACAGTGAAAGAGTGGACCGAAGAGTTATCAATTCATTTTCTATTTTTGATTTCCTCATTTAAAAGTTGGATTCAACGTCGTTTGACATATATAATTCCATCTATACTCTAAAAAGCTGTCTAATGGTATCAACAGGTTGCACGAAGATCAGTGAAAGAAGCAGAAAGAAAAAAAAAATCAACTGGCTGACTGGAGTATGAAAGCTCGCATTTTATTGGAACAGAGAATGGAGAAAGAGAGTTTGGACAAGAAGCAAAATGGCTGTGGGTCATAATTCCGAAAGATAACCCCGAAAATAAGTAAGATTCTCTAAAGGTTCAAATCCAGAAAATTACAATCCCTAAATGTTCAAAGAAGTATAATTCCAGAAAAATTGTTCAAGATATAATTCTAGAAAAATTTCTTAAAACTAATTTTAAATTATTTTTTCCTGAATAGTATTTTCAGGATTTTGACCTTTATTTCAAGTTTTAAAAAGGGATTTATTTAATGTATAAACAAACATTAAAAAACAACAGACCAACAATTGACTTTAACAATTAAAAAATACACCATAAGAAAAAGTGTATTAGAGAGATAGTTTAGACATTCAGGATATTAAAAAATACGGTGTTCGACATGCATTTATCCATTATTTATTTTATCATAATATAAAAAGTTTTAGGTTTTGGTTAATGAAAACTTACAGTTTAAAGCTGAATTGATGATATTTTTTATATATTTATAATTCAAAATTGCTACCCTTCATTTTCACCGTAGCCCTTAATCTCAGCTCAACTGAAATGGATGATTTCTTTACTATCTCCTCATTCAAATTGTACAAAAACATCGAAATAGCTTCTTTCAGGTTTTACACACTTGTGTATGAGATACATGAAACATCGTTTTCCAATATGGGCCATAGGATTAATGTCAGCTTGATGAAGGCTAAATTGACTCGTCAGTAAATTCAGGGAAATATCTCTTGCACCAGTTCTGCATCAAATTGTCTGTTTGAGTGAAGACAGCAACTTCCAAATGGGGCTGACAACTCTTTGAAGTTACTTGGCTCTTTGAAGTTACTTGGCTCTTTCAACATTGAAGTAATTCGGGATTTAGGTTTGACAATTTTCATCTTACGGATTCAAGTTTTCTAGATTTCAAACTGAAGTCACTTGGCTCTTTCAGGATTGAAGCATTCAGTATTTCGTCCTGATAGTATTTTCATCTTACATCGATGATTTCTCTCGAAGGCATTCTAATCTTATGGGATTGAGGTTTTGTGGGTATTTCAGCCTGGCACGATTTTGAATTCGTACGTTTTCAGAAATTACCCTTTATGTATTCTGATCTTTCGCGATTTCATCATTTGCTTGCACAATCTTCCCCTTCTTTCATGTTGCCTGTGTCGAGCATGCCTTCACCCCAATATTGGGACACATTCATTGAGTACATTTGTTATTATTATTAATCTGATTTGACGATGAGAACCTATCTATCTATCTATCTATCTATCTATCTATCTATCTATCTATTCATTTTCGTCTATTGCTTACAGTCAATATTTAAAATTCTTCCCATACATTGTTGTCCGCCCCCCACCCACCTAGATAACCCTAACTCTAATCTACATAACCCATTGTCTTTAACGCTCGTCTCTTTCTGAAGCCTAGACCTTCTCCCCACTCTTCTTTTATTAAACGCACCTCCAGTCTTCTGCTTTTGGTATTTCTCCTCCCCTTTCCGGGTTCCTCATTCTGTATTCCCGTTGTTTGTTTACCCAGTTCCTCGGAATGCATGCTGGTCTTTTGTTGGAGCGGGTACGGGCGGCGGTGGCGACGGTGGCGACGGTGGCGACGGTGGTGGTGTTGACGGTGCCAGTTGAGGACTGATGTGCGGTGGGTGGGTCTTCTTATGAGAACCTGAATACCTTTCAATGTTTGCTGATCACCAAATGGAACCACGCGTTGCTGTCCGGCAGCGGAAGTCTGGTGTGCCACGCTGCCGGAATCATTCGAAAACCTACGTCACACACACCGAGCATACACGTGCAGATATACGTTCCGATATACGTGCATAGGCAGCCTCCCGTCGAAGATGACAATGGGTGCAATAACCTTTTTGCAGTAAATGATTTACGCCTTTCTATGGTGGTAAGGATTACGTATCCATCGATTCATAGTGCTATCCCCGCAGGAGTATGACCCCTGCCAGGTCCACTCAAGCAGAGCATGTCGGAGGGAAGAGATCAGTCTTAATAAGAATTAAAAGAGACCATGGTAATACCAATAGTGAAATGGCCGTTTCCCTACATTGAACTTTTAGCGTTCCAAAGCCGGGCAGAGTATTGCGAAACAAGAGGATTTCTTTGGTAACGAAGAAAAGAATACTGAACTGTTTTGAGGGTGTTCAAACACATGCCGCATTACGTGACATCTGTCCATCTTTACGGAAGCGAATGTTGGAGGATTTCCTCAAAAATGAAGAAGAGACACGAGGTGACGGAGATGTGGTTCTACAGAAGGATGCTAAGGATATCATGGACCGAGCATGTGAGCAACGATGAGGTCTTAGAGAGGTTGGAAACAAGGAGGAGGCATATACTTAATATCGGGAAGAGGTAGCGGAAGTTCCTGAGACACATAATGAGGAAGAAGGGCCTGGAGAATCTGATACTCACAGGTCGAATTCAGGGAAAGAGAGACAAGGAAATGACATCCATGGCGGCCTTAAGCAAGTGGATGACAGAACGTCGTCTGGGGGAGGTGGCAGAGGTAAGGAACTTGTTGAGGACTACAAGGAATAGCAGGGTGTGGAGAGCCATGATCGCCTACGTCCTGAAAGGACAGGGCACATAGAAAGAAAGATAGGCTGAGAGATCTTTATTTTAAAAGGTTTTTTTTCCGGGAAAATGTTTTCGCTCTTTTTACTACTGATGGGAGTTTCCTTCCTAACCGTTTCTTTAAGACAGTGTAAAGTCACCATCTTGGTTATATTATTATTTTCCTTTGTAGTTATATGTGCTATCCATTTTAGTTCTTGCGGCTGCTGGATATCTTCGATTATTCTAGCATTTTCTATTTGGCAAATTCTTTATTCGTGATTGTGTAGCGCCAGTCTGTAGGGTCTGTTGAAGGATTGTTTTGGAAAGAAGCATGGTGATTGCAACCATTCGAGGAGGAGTCACTTTCAATTTAAGACTAAACTTGAAAACAGTTTAGTTGAAAACGATTAGAACAAACAATTATATCAACCTGTCGTTCTTAACAGAGGTACATATGGACCCTTGGGGTTCATTTAACATTACTGGGGGGGGGACACCCAAAAATAGCAAATTGGGATTCCACGGTAATATTTTAGTGGTCGAGAGAGCAACTTCGTTTCGGAACGGTTATTATTGGAATTTCTACTGGCATTAATTGCATGAAAAGAAAACACTTGTGACTTTGAAACGGGATCATGCATGATCGTTAAAATGAAAAAAAAGAGAGAGTTCCCAGCGAGAGATGTTCGTTGACATAAACTTCCAGCTCATGCATGTGGACATAAAAGTCCTTGCTAAAGATAGGAAGGTAGCTATGAATCGAGAAATCATAGGAAGAGTTTGAAGTGTTAACATTAGTTTCGCAGAGATCTAGGTTCTCTTGAGACTTTTCGAAGAGGAACGATTCCACATTGCAGAAGTTGGTACGAATATCACGAATGTCGGAGAAAGAAAGGTTGAGGTGTTTTTGTTGGGCTGCTTTAGATTTATATAGTTGGTTGCTTATTGTTCTAGTGTGTTAATTTGGTAAAGAAAGACCAAAGTTAGTAGTAGTTATCGGTCGTCTAATGTAACATGTGCAGGAAGGGAACTGGCGCAGACTGAAATATACTGTGACCGGGGTTTAGTTTTACTTCAAAATAAAGCATATACATTTACTATTTCTATAATACAATGCCAAAACTTATCTATTGGTAAAAAAAATAAAATAAGCTTTTTTTTTGATCGAATAGTTATTAGGGTCTACCAAAATAAATTGAGAGCATTAATGCCAAAAGATCTCGAAAAATGTAAAATTAAATATATATATATATATATATATATATATATATATATATATATATATATATATATATATTAAATTATAAAATTACATATATAAAAATAAATTATATATATAAAAAAATATACATGCAAGCTACGTTAGGGCGGTGGGAAAGTGACTGAAACCGAGATGCCAGGTCAGGACCAATAACATTGAAAACTCTTCTTTGTATTCTCTAAATATCTCGCAGAAGCACCAGACGAGATAAGGCAACAATATTTAATATATGGGCGAAAGATAGACTTATAAATATGTAAGATAGACTCTGGTGCAAAAGATTGTCTAGCACAACACAAAGAACCAACTTTCTCAGCAGCAGACTTAGCAAATGGTTCAAGATAATCTTTCTATATAATCTTTGTAATCCTCTCGCGTGAAGCGAAACGATTCTTTGAACCATATTGAAGAATAAATTCTCCAGAAAATACCTGACTTCATCCGCCATGCTCTAATGAAGCCGTCTCTTCTACTCCAATAGCTTCATGTCTCGCACTTCCCGTGTGTGGAACTACCTTTCACTTATTTGCTTCTCTGATAGCTATAATCTTCAGTTATTCAAATGCCATGCCAATCGACATCTTCTGATGCCTTGATCCACGTCCTTCTCTTCATCCTTTCCTCTATCACGCCTCTTTACTCCCAATCCTCTGTAACCCTCTTGTGTGCTAGTGGCATTCCCGCTTTGCTTGGGATGAAATGCTTAAAAAAAAAAGAAAAAAAAAAGAGGCAGATCTGACCCAAAATGGAGTATTGCTGCCTCATCTTGACTAGTATAACCCAATTCTCACTTTCTAGCCTCAATAGAGTTCACAAGTGTCTGCGCGGTCTTGTGAGTGATGAACTTTTTCTCACCCTACAGCCCATTTCCCCACAAAACACTGCTAGCCTTTCGCTATTTTCATGGCAGGTGTCAGGGCAAACTATACTCTTTGGTTCCACCAATCCAGATCTTCGCAGCCAGAACCCGCCCATGCCATCAATCGTGTTATTCTCATTTCACTTCATATTCCATTAGTAAGGAGGAAATTACCCTCAGCCAGCTTCTTCCCCAGATTGCACTATGGAATAAACTTCCAAGATGATGCTTCCTTGAACACTACACTCGTAATATCTCCAAGTCTTGAGTCAACTGTTATCCACATATTCTCATAATATGCTACCTTGGCGATACGAACAATACGAATTTTGAGTTCGGTATATTTGGA